AAGGACCTGCGGTTGTGCATCGATTATCGCAAGCTCAACGCGCAGACGATCAGGAACGCCGGCCCTCTCCCACGCATCGACGACCTTCTCGAGCGATTGGGCGGCGCCCAGTTCTTCTCTAAGTTGGATCTCAAGTCAGGGTACCACCAACTCGAGATTCGCAAGGAGGATCGCTACAAGACCGCGTTCAAGACACGGTATGGGCATTTCGAATGGTTGGTCATGCCATTTGGCCTTATGAATGCCCCAGCCACTTTCCAAGCGGCTGTGACGACGGAGTTCCGACACATGCTGGATCGTTTCGTACTTATCTACCTCAACGACATTTTGGTTTACAGCCGGAGTCTGGGCGAGCATGTGGAACACTTGCGCACCGTTTTGGAGCGGCTACGACATGCCAAGTACAAAGCAAACCGCGACAAGTGCGAGTTCGCACAGCAGGAGCTGGGATACTTGGGACACTATGTGACGCCGAAAGGCATCCCTCCGCTTGCGGACAAGATCGAGGCCCTACGAGTATGGCCCGAGCCCACCAACACCACGGACGTTCGTTCATTCATGGGATTGGCGGGCTACTATCAGCGATTCATCACCGGATACTCTAGGATTGTTGCACCTATGACGAGGTTACAGTCGCCAAAGGTGCCATTCGTATTCGATGATGCCGCACGCCGGTCATTCCAAGCACTTAAGACGGCTATGCTCATGGCACCCGTCCTTAGCATCTATGACCCCACCCGGCCGACGCGAGTGACTACGGACGCTTCCGGCTATGGCATTGGGGCAGTCTTGGAACAGCACGACGGCGATGACTGGCACCCTGTGGAGTATTTCAGCCACAAAGTGCCTCCCATCAACTCGCTTGATGATGCAAGGAAGAAGGAGCTGCTCGCATTCGTCATGGCTCTCAAGCGATGGCGGCACTTCCTCCTTGGGCGTCGTAGGTTCACATGGGTCATAGACAACAATCCATTGACCTACTACAAGACGCAGGACACGGTGAGCAGCACGATAGGACGATGGATCTACTTCATCGACCAATTTGACTTCACACCGAAACATGTCCCCGGCCTCTCCAATCGCGCAGCAAATGCACTCTCGCGAAGACCAGATCTTTGCGCTATGACACATCATGCCTTCGCATTCGACGAGGAGCTTCAGCGACACTTCATCCGGGCATATCAGTCTGATCCGGACTTTGGCATGCTCTATGCACAGCTATCTTCGGATCACCCGCCGGCCAGCCATTTCCGCATTGCCGACGGGTACTTGCTCCTCCACTCGAGAGGCAAGGACTTACTATGTGTCCCACGCGACCGTCGTCTTCGGACTCGCCTCCTCGGCCAGTATCATGATTCACGACTCGCCGGCCATTTCGGAGTCAACCGCACTATTGCACGGCTTCAACAACGATTCCGATGGCCCGACCTCATTACCGATGTCACTCGGTATTGCGACTCTTGCGAAGTTTGCCGACGCAGCAAGCCCCACAACCGCAATCCCTACGGCGAGTTACACCCGATGCCTATCCCACGGGAACCCGGTCTCTCCATTGCCATGGACGTCACCGGTCCGTTTCCTCGCGACCGGCTCGGGCACGACGACATCCTCACGGTTGTGGACCGATTGAGTAAGTACGCGCGTTTTCCCCCTTGCAAGTACTACTCCACGGCTCCCAAGCTGGCACGCCTCCTGCACACTGGTTGGATTTGTGGCCACGGTGTACCAGAAGACATTGTCAGCGACCGCGACACTCGTTTCATGTCGGCGTTTTGGACTGTTCTCATGCAGAAGTCCGGCACAACAATGAAACCAAGTTCGGCTCGACATCCTCAGACACACGGGCAGACGGAGCGGGCACATCAAACTGCTCAAATGATGCTTCGTACGCTCGTCCGTCCAGACCAGAAAGATTGGGTTGACCGCCTCCCCGACATCGAGTTCGCCTACAACACTTCGGTGCATCCAGCGATCGGCGTGACTCCATTCGAGTTGCACCACGGTGGACGGAAAGGCCGGATCTTCGCAAACCTTCTCCTCCCTCGACCAGCCGACATTGATGCTGCCTGCTCTCCCGCTTCCGTCCGGAAGTACAGGGAATTGTTGACTCAAGCCCGCGCAAATATGCAAAAGGCTCAAGTCCGCATGCAGCAGCAAGCCAACAGGCGTCGCGTACCATGTCCCATCCGCGCCGGTGATCTGGTTTGGGTCTCCGCGGAAGAGTTTGCACTGGAACAGGATGTTTCACGCAAACTGCTTCCCAAGTGGTTTGGACCGTGGTCGGTGACTGCAGCCGCGGGCGATGAGCCCGATGGCCCTTCATTTGTGATCAACATTCCAGAGCATCTGACGGTCCATCCGGTCTTCCACGCCTCGAAGCTGGCAACATACACGCCAGCCAAGAGCGACGACTTCTCGGACCGACGATCGCAGGACCCTCCTTCTATGGATGGCCATCAGGAAGTTGACCTCGTCATCTCCGATCGCAAGTACGGCAGCAAGCCGCGGCAGTACAAAGTCACATTCAAAGCATGCGATCGCGACGACACCCGGTGGATTTCAGGCGCAGATTTGAAAGCCTCCGCACTGCTGATCTACATGCATTATGAAAAGCGGAGGTTAGCTCAGGAAGCTTCACGACCAGCCCCTCCCACCCGGGCTGTGGTCCCTCCCTCAGACAGACAGCTTCGCCCTCGCAGGTAAGCTCGGTTCTTCAAGGAGGGGGGGGTGTGGCATACTGCGTAGCCACACGGGCCCTGCAGGGCCCGTCC